CTTTTTGCTCTCCAGCCAGGCCTTGGGGCCTTAATTCTCTCTGGCCTTCAGAAGGGGGTGGGATGGTTTTAATGCATTTCTCTCCAGGCCACTCTGCTCCCCCCCCCCCTTGGTTTTAAAGTACTGTATCTATGTGGGGTTTTGGTTGGTTGGTTGTAAGTCACTTTGGGGTGCCTTGGGGCAGATAAAGTGACTAACACTTAAAAAAAAATAACGAAGAATGATCCATCTAACCTAGATAGAGATACGTTTCAGAGTGCTCTGAAGAGCAGTTCACCTGTTGCGTAGCCAAGCCGTAAGTGGCTCAACTGCTCAGAAAGCAGCATGCAAAACTGTCTTTTCAGCCTTGCTCCTTGATGATGGAGTGAACAAACCGAATGTATTGCAGCAAGGCAATTGTCTTTATTATTTACACGTTGATAAAGCCGAGAGAAGCTGGGCTTTGCCATTCTCAGCTGTGCTGCCCGGCCTGTTTGGCCTCCTGAGACTTCCCATCTGCTGTGTAGGCAGCTTCCCTGGTAACCGGGCTCCAGCTGCCTCCCTGAAATTGACTGAGATTTGAAATGGCTCCGCTGGGTGCAACTTGCCAGAACTTAGAAAATAAGCCTCTTTTTAGAAAGCAGAGCATCTAGCTTTTGTAGTTGTATAAATGGGCTCAAAAACTGACACATTTTTTTAAAAATTGAAGACCTAAAAGGGCTTGTGGCTCATACATTTTCTCCAAAGGGACAAATAGCAAGTCCAGGAGATGATTCAACCTTTCCATGGCCCTGATCCAAATTACCCCACCCCCACAGCTGCTTTTAGAAGAAACTTGCTCCATGCACCATGTTGCTTGGCCCATATACTCTTGTTGTCACTTGTTCTCACCCATTTAGTACCAGTGTGAACATAAAAGTTGGCTGTTCGTCCCAAGCTGCATCTGCCCTGAGGATGTCTTGAGCATATACCTTCCTTAAATATTATTATTGCATGAGATCTGCTGGATCTGACCCATCCCAGCATGCACAATGCAGGCGCCCCATAGAGACGAGAATACATTGTATGAAGATCCACAAAGGGGGGGAGGGAAGTCAAGGGGGATTTTACGTTTATTTATTTTTAAATTCTGTTTGTATATTGTAAATTGAAAATGCAAAAATAATTTCTTTAAAGAAGACTGATCCTCGTATGCACACTGCCTGGTTCTGCTTACAAAGCAAGTCTTTGTTATACAGAGAACAGGCAGGTCCATAGAGATAGGGAAAAGTAAAGAGTGATACTTGCACACACTCTTCTGATTCTGTTTGCAAAAACCCAGACATTTGGGAGGTTTTTTAAAAACAATTCCACCCGGATAGTGATTTCGCCCTTGGAATCCTGGACATGTCTGGGGAAAACTGGGCAGATGGTAACCCTAATAGAGGTACAGAGAAGGTCGGTTTATATTAGAATTCACAAAGATGTAATTTGTCAAGCATCCTTTCCCCTGCCATCCCCCGCTCGGCATTAGTGTTCTCATGGAGTCATGGATACCTAGTTGCCCTGTAACACTAAGTTGTACCTTTAGAGTGCTCTATATGCTCATTAATCCTTACTTCCTGCTTTCAGCATCATGCACTACCATTTTATGTTAATATCAGCATGCAGTCCGCTTTGCCATTCCATTCTTTCCCCATCTCCGTTAGTCAATGAAATGTTAGTAAATGAAGCCTGCATTCTGCAAGCATAAATAATATTTTCTTGGGCACTCTGAAAGTGCCTTGTGCCTAAAAATCCCACACTAAAAAGACACAAATTCCCCACCAGGTGATGTACCCAGCTTGTTCTGTTCTAAAATGTTAGCCTATTCCAAATGCCCCACATTTAGATCATTAGATGCAATAGCTCCACATCCAAGCTTCAACATGAACAATAAAACTGAGGTTATACTCATTTACTATTTATAAAAAGCCAAAATCATCACCTATCAGCTGCCTGGGAGGGAAGGAAATATGGTGGGCCTCATCCTGCTTCTCTTCCCATCAGAAACCCTGTTTGGAAACCCCAGTTTCTTCTTCTCCTGGGCTAGGTGAGTTTGCAGAATACCTAACCTCTGAGTGCTCTTTCTATGCTGTACCAGTTTTCTCTTCTGGAAAAGGAAGAACAAAGTGCTTCCTTGGTTTACAAGGAAAGCTTTGAAAACAAGCAATTAAATCCACAATCCACGACTGTTTCCTACACTACTTTGATAAAGAAAGGTGATTATATATGTAGATGTTGTACAGCTCCAGTTTCATTACCAAATTTTTAACATATTTTGAGTCAATGGGAATTGGGATGGAAAACGTTTTTAAACGTTACTAATGCCCTTCTTTTTTACATTTTGGATTAACAGAAGCTCTGTGCACTTTTTTCATTACTCAATCTCATTTCCTGCGAGATCTGACTGACATATTACAGCAGGATTTAAACATAATCCACAGACAAAGCTCTTTGTCTTTACTGACACAAGAATGTATTTAGGAAACAATTCAGCAAGAATATAACTCCCATAAATTCAGCACAGTTTCTTAAGGTCAAGATTAAGCTTTCAACAAGAATGGCACAGGTAGTAAGGAATTCTTTAGCATGAGCTGTAGTGTTAGAAAACATATTAGACTTCTCTAATGCTTTGGGACCTATGTAAAATTATAACTGTGATAGAAACAATGAAATTTTGTGCTCCTGCAGCAGCCTCATGGAAATCAAGGTGTCACTGGCAGCTGAGGTTCAGGGCAAGCTGCAGAGCTGGTGGGAGACTGGGCTCCTCTATCTGATGGCAGATGGCAGTAGAGGCAGCAGCAGTAACACAGTCTCTGCTAGATGGTTGTGAGCCACCCACACTCAAAATTACCCACAATGCCCATGACAGAGCATCACTCTAGAGCACTGGCATTGTGGGTAATTATAATTGTTGTTTGGTTGTTGAGTCGTGTCCGACTCTTCGTGACCCCATGGACCAGAGCACACCATGCACTCCTGTCTTCCACCGCCTCCCGCAGCTTGGTCAAACTTGCCAGTGCACTGGCATTGTGGGTAATTATAATAGTGGGCCGCTATTTGATCCGGATGTCTAGCACAAAGATCCCAAGAACAGCAGCAGTGGCACGTCCACTTTTCTCCCTGGCAGCTGCCCAGAGATGCCAGGTTCTGATGCTGACTCTGCTTGCTGTGCCATATCTGAACAGCAGCAGGGTCTGCTGGCACAGAGTGATGTCTTCACTTGTATCTCCCCATCTGATGCTATTTCTGATTCTCTGTTCACTCTACTAGAAGCAAAATGGCACCAAGGCAAGATGAGGTTGTACATGCAACAAAGGACTAAAGTGGCACTTTTTAGTTTTTACTCTTGTAACTTTCACAGCAGCTTGACATAGGTGGAGCTCTTACTATCACTTATGCAGGTGGAATTATTATTGTCACACTCCCCGCTCCATCTCTGAGTTCCAGGCGAACCGAACCCATGGGCAGTGGAGACTTTGGTGTTTCGTGATATATGGTTTATTTACACATACAGTGGTACCTCGGGTTACATACGCTTCAGGTTACAGACTCTGCTAACCCAGAAATTGTACCTTGGGTTAAGAACTTTGCTTCAGGATGAGAACAGAAATCGGGCTCTGGTGGCGCGGCAGCAGCAGGAGGCCCAATTAGCTAAAGTGGTGCTTCAGGTTAAGAACGGAACTACAGAAAGAATTAAGTTCTTAACCCAAGGTACTACTGTACAGGGGTGTCTTGCCCATAGAGGCAAGTGGCGCAGGGCGCCAGGGCACCATTCTGGAGGGTGCCATGGAAGAGGCAGAGGCTGGATGCGGTGCCTCCTGGCATGAGCTCGCTGCCCTTGCCTGCCTCTGCTGAAGCAGCACCGCACCCGGAGTCTCTGCCTGCTGTGGCCACCGCAGCACAGGCGCCAGGGAAGAGGCAGAGGCTGGGCATGGCACCTCCAGACACCAGCTCGCTGCTCTCACCCGCCTCACTGAAGCAGCGCCGCGCTCGGAGCCTCCGCCTCTTCCCCACTGGAGGAGCTGCCCTCTAGCTGCTGCCCGCCTCCTTCAGCCCCGCAAAGCTGCTGGCAGCGCTGTAAAAAGGAAATTGGGGGGGCCCCCGCCAGAGGGATCTTTGCATCACGGCACCGGATATACTTAAGACGGCCCTGCCACTGTATATACATCCTAAACCTCCACTGCCTTGTGGCTACACACATTCATAAGAAAAGCTACAGGAGTAAACCCTAAGGAGAAAACTATACTCGCTGCCTTGTGGGACATCTTTGGGAGAAGAAAAGGCTCGGGAGTAAAGTGACACAAATCTGGAGTGGAGTCGTTAAGACGGCTGGGTAGCATCTTGTAGGCCTCCTTCCAGCAACTCCTGCAGCCCAGCCAGTGCCAAATGTATTGCTCTGTTTCCCTTTGGACCACATCAGCAAGGTCTTGTGGTTTGGGCAGCCCAGGCTTGCACCCTGGGGAGATCTATTCAGTGCTGCTAACACAGCAAAAACAACGCAGGAGGCAGTAGTTTCAATACAACCCGAGCCTAAGATGGAGGAGCTCACAGCCTTAAGACCGCAAAAGGTCTAGCTTTTTCCATAGTTACAGCCTTGGATTCTAGCAGATAATCAAGCAAATCTCTCAGCTTCTGCCTGCTGCTGGCCCCGCTCTCACACAACTGCCCTCGCTTTTGTCTTTGAACTGCCAGCCAGGTGAGGGGCAAAGGCCTCTGGCACAGAGCCATTCTCTGACAAAGAAACTGGCCTGACTAGTTCAACAATGGAATCCTCCATTAGATTTCAACCCTTGCTGGATCCAGGACCCTGGAAGTAAAAGGGACTCAGGTATCATGCCAGCTAACACTCCCCCACCCCACCCCACTCACAACGTGGTTATCTCTTGGAGAATGTTCCCCTGGTAAAATTTTTGTGTGCCATTCACCAGGGCAGAGAAATGGGCCCAGTGAAGAGGTGGCAGCCCTGCACACTTTGCAAACAGGTTCTTCCCTGGAAAGGGCCATTGCTAAGTGGAAGAGCATCTGGTTTACACACAGAAGGTCCCGGGTTCAATCCCCAATGGCATCTCCAGGTCAGACTGGGGATTTCCCCTGCCTGAAACCCTGCCAGTCAGTGTGGACAATGCTGAGCTAGATGGCGCAAGGGTCAAGCCCCAGTATAAGGAAGCTTCCTATGTTCCCTCCATCTCATTTCCCTCCACAGGAAATTAGATGCTGGGTGGGGAAATTTCCACTACTGCTGCTGCTGCTGCTAATTTTATTCAGGTCTTACTCCTGTAACTAAGATCAGCCTGACTTGCAGGAAATTAGCAGCATAGCAATGTGGTGAAAAAGAGAATCCTCAGCCAATTTTCTGATTGTTATTAAAGGCAAAGGAGCAGGACCAGCAGAAAAGACGACAACCCCACCAATTCTTTTGCAGATCAGGATTTGCTGGTCCTTCATCTATTTCCCTGGGCCACCACCTCCCAGTACTGCAATTGCTCCTGCTCAGCTTCTTCACATGCATCAGACTGAACCACAGCTCTTCTCTTTTCTCCATATCAGCTTGCTCAGGCTTTATATAATAAGGCAGTCTGAGGCTGGGACCTTCCCTCTTATGAGACATGGTCTCTGTTGAGACAAAACCTAGTTTCACAGCAGTGGATTTCTTCAGCTACTGTGCAGTATTGTATGCTTACATTCAGTCAGATGTCTGGTGTCACTCTAGGTTTTCCCCAGTGCTATCCCCATTCTAGCCTCTTCCTTTCTATGAACAGTTGGGTACTTCTTCTTTTCCTGACGCAGTAGCTTCTTGTTCCCATAGTTGCATTTACAGTGGTACCTCAGTTTAAGAACAGTCCAGTTTATGAACAATTCAGTTTACAAACTCTGCAAAACTGGAAATAGTGTTCTGGTTTGAGAACTTTACCTCAGTCTAAGAACGGAATCCGAATGGTGGATGGGCACCGACAGTGGGAGGCTTCATTAGGGAAAGTGCACCTTGGTTTAAGAATGGTTTTGGTTTAAGAACGGACCTCTGGAACGGATTAAGTTCATAAACCGAGGTTCCACTGTAGTGTTATTTTCTCCACATCCATCTCTCAGCAGAAAGAGCCATTCCCTGACTGGAGTTTTGCTTGCAGGTGGCTACTGCAGAACGGAAGGTAATGAGATGAACAATGAATTTGGGGGCTGATCATTAATTCTGTTTAAAAGTTAATGCTCACAACAAAATCATGAGGGCCTAAATAATAAATCCAAAGCAAGCTTTAGACATCTCCCTTATTTGAGAAACGGCTGCTTAGCTTTAGCTTTTATTTACAGGCCTTAACTACAGTATAGGAAAGTCATTTTCAGCCACTGTATCTAAGAAACACTAGGCTGAAAGCCAAGGTCATCTTGTTACTGTACTAGTTATTTAAACACAAAAGGATTAAATTGCACAAGAAATGTCTAGCACCCAATGTTTCTTGTTTGCCTGTGGACATGCAGTAAGGTTGCCAGGTTCAGTCAACGTTTACAAAATGGGTAGCCAGCACAGTGCACTCCAGATGTTCTTGGAGTACAACCCCACAATCCCTGACCATTGGCTAAACTGGCTGAGGCTGATGGGAGCTTGGAGTCCAACTCTTGGCAGCCACTGCCCCCAAATAATGCTCTCAAGGGGATCACAGCCCCATGTACATATAGTGCTCCCGGCTTGATTCTGAGATGAATGAGAAAGAAATCCAGAGTGGAAAAGAAGCTGACACTCTTCCATTTAGAAAACTCTTAAGTACTTGAGCAAGAGCAGGAGACATCAGGACTTACTCTCTCTCCTGCTTGTGGAACCTTTCTTCAGAGTTTCTTCCCCTCATCCTGTTTGTACTGGACCTCTTGCTCATTTTTTGTTTGTTTTTGCTCCTTTTAACAAATTGCTTCTGACTGGCATACTCTTTTGGATTTGACTCCTGAACAGCCCTAGCATCTTCCTTAGTCTTGACCATATGAATGCATCTGAACCAGTCTCATATAGATTCAGACCACGAGTCCCCTGAGCCCAACTCCAATTCTGCACCTTGCCAAAAATTCTTGAGCGGCCTTAAAGGAAGAGGCTTCTAACTGGAGTTTGAACCTGGGCCCGTAGCCCACACTCAGCCACTGGGCATTGCTCTTCATCAGTTGCATCATGGAGAGCAGCGTCAACGAACTGGACAACTACCCAATGAGGGCAGGCTGCGGCATTTGCGGATTTTTGGTTAGGAAAAAATGTGATAAAGAGGTGACATGATAGAAGTTTATGAGATGATGCATGGCATGGAGACAGTGGAGAGAGACAAGTTTTTCTCCCTCTGTCACAACACTAGAACTTGTGGATACTCAAATGAAGCTGAATGTTGGAAGATTCAGGATTAATAAAAGAAAGTACTTCATCAAGCAGCACATAGTTTAAATTATGGCCTTCGCTCTCACAGGAGGCAGTGATGGCTACCAGCTGGAATGGCAGTGTGGTTGGCATGTTGGACTAAGATCTGGGAGACCAAGGTTCAAATCCTCACTTGGTCCTGAAGCTCATTGGGTGACTCTGGGCCAGTCACTGCCTCTCAGCCTAAACTACCTCACACGGTTGTTGTGGCGATTGCATTGTTACAGGAATTTATGTAAAGGTGTGGGGGGGTTGGACCTCCAGCAGACATCATATACACACACCCCGACTACCAAACTCAACACAATCACTCCTGCAAATGTCCCCACAAAACACTTCATCACAGTTTTTTCCTATCTCTGTTCAAAGGGCCTCTGATGCACATTACCACATGCAACAATTCACTGATATGTACAGTGGTACCTCAGGTTAAGTACTTAATTGGTTCCGGAAGTGCGTTCTGAACCTGAAGTGCACTTTCCCACTGAAAGTAATGGAAAAGTGGATTGATCCGTTCCAGACGATGAAAAACACCCCCTAAAACAGCAATTTAACATGAATTTTACTGTCTAACAAGACCATTGATCCATAAACTGAAGGCAATAATAATGTACTGTACAATAAAATAAGTAAGACAGTATTATAGATGAAAAAATTAACTTTAATTTTTTTCTTACCTGTACTGATGATTGCTTGGATGGGGGGGGCTTTTAGCCATTTCTGCAGTCACACAGTCAACCAGTAGCTGAACCCCAAACCCCACACGATCCCCAAAACAATGGCAGAAGGCAGAGTCCCCCAGAAGTCCCCCAAACGAAGGAGCAAAGCAGAGACAAAGGCACAGGGCAGACTCACATAAACAAATCCCAAAATACCTCACAGAATCCCAAAATTTTACACTCCCCCCCCCCAGGGTAGGTGGGCTTACCTGGCTAGGTGCCACCCATCTTGCTACAGCTGGGGGGTGGGGCAAGGGTTGGTCAAGGGCTTTTCGGCCCAGGCTCACCTTTGTTTCTTAACAGCTTCACTGCTCTTTGTCTTCTCTAGGTAAGTGTTCCTTACCTAACTTTGGGGCTGGGATGCAACCTGCTGGGCATCCTGCGGATGTCGGGGCTTGGCTTCAGGCAGCGGCGAGGCCTCTGAGAGCTCAGACAACTTAGTTCCAGGTTAAAATCGTTCGTAACCCGAAAAAACGTAACTTGGAATGTTTGTAACCCGAGGTACCACTGTACTGGCTCACTGGGAAAACTTTAGAAAGTCATATAAAATCGCTCCAGTATGGATTTCCACCAACTTTGTTCTATTCAGGAAAGGAATGGCTACAGGGGGTGGGGGGAGTGTCTGGGATGTGGGCAGCCATAATCCATGAAAGCTGGGATCGCGTACACAGCAGCCTCTTGCACAAGAGATAATCACTGGCATCCTGGCAAATGGGTGCCAGACAGGCAGTCATCCCATGGACAATGGCAAACCATCCAGGAATGGATTGGGTCCTCAGTCAGGACAAAGGAGTGTGATTATCTGACTGGGAAAACCAGGGAAATGTAAATATTCCTGTTGTATCACTTGATGGGTGTGTGGTGGTGGGCAAGGGAGGTTGGGGGCAAACCTGACAAACTGGTTTCTAGCAGAAAACTCCTCCCTGTTTGTGACATATGTATGATGCATCTGTGATGTATGCATGATGTGTCACCTGAGGGATAAAAGAGGGAGCCGCCCTTTGTTCTGGGCTTCTTCCTGCTTCTCCCATGTGATGGGTGGAAGTTCTGTTGCAACCATCTTTTGAATAAAGATCAGGCCTACTGGCTGCTGCTTTGCTCCTGTCTTCTTGGCTGGTGTCTTTGTTTGGCAATCCAAGTGAGCCCAGGAACTTTCATTTTACAGCACAGATGAGGAAGAGGAGAACTTTGAGTTCCTTAGAGAAAAAGGTGGGATATAAATGTAATAAAATAAATAAATAAACTTAGATGGATTTGAAAGAGGATTAGACAAATTCATGAAGGACAAGGCTATCAATGGCTACTAGCCATGTTAGCTATATTCCTCCTCTGGGATCAGAGGCATATTCTGAATACCAGTTGCTAGAAACCACAGAAGGGGAGCGTGTTCTTGTGCTCATGCGCCGCTTGCTGGTTTCCCACAGGCAACTGATTGGCCACCATAAGAATATTATGCCAGGCTAGATGAGCCAGTGACCTGACACATCAGCCTCTTCTTCTGTTCTGCAACTATAACCCTTTATTTTATTTTTTTATAAATTTTATTTTTCAGTTTTCAGTTTAACAATAATCACATGTAGATCAGTACATACTCAGTTTGACTTCCCTCCTTCCCTTCTGTAGTTTCGTATAAGATCATTTCCAAAACTGCATCTCTTTACACCTTTTACTTAGTTACTCTCTAGTTTACTTTTAAATCAACCTTTTAACTGCTTGTTTTTAGATTAAGCCTGCTAATGTGTTTAGTTGTTTGCAATAGTTTTTAAGACAGTCCACAATTTCCCCCCATTCTTCGTTACAAGTTATTTCTTCTTGATTCCTTATTCTTCCCATTAATTTTGCCATTTCTGCAGAGTCCATTCACTTTATCTGCCATTCTTCCTTGGTTGGGAGTTGGACAGTTCCTTCTCTGCACAAAAGCATTCTGGACTTTAGACAGAAAGCAGCAGGAAGCCTGAAGCT